TGGGGCACCCCTGCGCCTGCTGCCCATACCTGGGGACCCAAGAACAGCCCCACCGGTCAGCAGTGGCCCCGGGCCATGGGCTCTTAGGTGGGGTTTTCCCTGGGGGACAGTGCGTGACCCTCCCAGCCTGCAGCCAACTCCAGCACCTCAGGTCTCCCCAAACCCTGGACACCCTACCTGTGCTGCCCTCTGCCTCTCTCCATCCTGCCTCCACCAATGTCTAGAGGTTCTGTGGAGAAAGGACCCTGCTTGCTAGACTACAATCTAATCGGATGGGACTCGTGCCTTAGCTCAGCTGGCCACCTCTTCCCCCGGGCACTTCCTAAGGCCTCCCCTGCAGGACCTGGACATAGAAGTAAAGGGTTGGCAGCAGGCTCCTCTGACTGGAATACACATAGTGACTCAGTAGGAGTCCCCGGGGAGTCCCTGATGAGGTAAAGCCCCAAATCAGATGGCTGTAGGTCTGAGTCTATGCTCCTCCCGTGGGCCGCAATGAATAAAAATGTAGCTTGGATTAATGATATAATCAGCAGAGAGCCATCGACTAAGGAGCAGCCGGTCAGGCAGACTCGCTGTAGATCCCATAGGAGCAGAGAGGGGAGGCGTCTGTGCCCTGCAGGGTGGGAAATGTCGCACCTTCATTCCCAGTGACACAGCTCCCGCTGGAACTGTCATAGCGGTGATGACCCACCCTGGCCAGTGAACTGGCCGACAGTGCTGGCCGTGTTGACCCAGGCTCCAGCAGTGGGGAGGACAGATCGGCAGAGGAAAGGGCTGCCGGCCTCGCTCCTCACCTCTCATCCCATGGGGCGGAGCCACGGTGACAGCAGCAAGTGTTCACTGTCTCTGTGCATGGTGATCAGATCGGCTCAGAGACATGTAAACAGCGATAATGAGACAGATGCCCAAGTCAGGCTTGACCTCTTATGATGAGGAGAGTCAGTAAATCTTGGAAGGATTTGAAATCCAAAGACAGCTGGTAAAATACAAGTGAAAATGGGACCAAGAGAGTTGCAAAGGAAAGAGGAGGGGATTTGTAAGAAAAAGAAACTTAAAAGTGGTCCATTTTCAAGCATGCATTTAAGAAGTCCCTAACTGAACGGGACTTTGATGGAGAGATAAAAGTAATAAGAGAGCCTCTGTAGAATGTAGTCATGAGTACGGAGGGCAGAAGAAAAACATTTTTCTACCTAGGACAAAAGTAGAAACATAGTCATCACTAGGTGGTCTGAGGTCGCCTGGATGGAACATCTGCCCCTGGGAAAGTCCCAGAGCAAAGAATAGATAGTGTTAGGAAGAGATCCAAGCTCAAGTAAGGAGGGGGCCGGGGAACTAACTTATAAAGAGGAGATGAAACATGAAGCCACATCTGGGGAAAAATTGTGCCTCCCCTGCTACTCAGCCAGTGAGGGATGGACAGGCTCTGGCAGTGGCTCTCCAGGTCCACGAGCATCAGCGTCTCCTTCTCCAGCTGCTGCTTGGCCACTGTGTGACTGTCCCTTGCCTGGGAGACACAGGACAACAGGTGCACACGTGCAGCGCTGACAACCTGAGGTGGCTCCCAGGCCTACCTTGGCCACCTGCGCCTGGAGCTCCACCACGTCGCCTTCTAGGCTGCGCTTGTCACTGAGGGCGGTGGCCAGCTCCACCTCGCTCCGGTGGAACAGGGACTCTAGGTCCTTCACGCGGCCCTGGGCCACCGTGAGCTCGCCCTCCCGCTTCTTGGCACTGAAAGTCAAGAGAGGACCTCAGCCAGGAGGGGCAAGCGGCCATGGGCTCTGGGAGTCCCTCTGGCAGCGCCTGAGACACCAGGAAGCCTGAGTACAGGGTCAAGGTCGGCGGGCCCTGAGCCCAGGGCCCCATCAGTTTCAAGGGGCTGAGTTCCTCATCCCACGGTGTAGGGAACAGGGGAAGGGGATGTTACCCGAACCTCTGCAGTAAGTCCTAGTCTCCTGTGAGCCACGGCAGCACACGGCGAATTACAGGAAAGGTAGAAAAATGAGACTGAGAAGAAGCTGAGCTTTGGGTCTGATCAGTGCTGCTCTGGGCGGCAAAGACAAAAGCTCCCTAGCTTGCAGCACCTTTTATTCAGTACATGGGGAAACAGATGTAACAAGTGAAAATGCCGAGTTCAGTACTTTACATTGGGATAAACGAGGTGTAAATGGACTGGGGGGGCAGTGGGAATCTAAGGACAGTGAGGAACTATGCAGATGAAGACTTGGTTCCTCCCTGGCATCTCCCGCAGGTGTGGTCTTGTGCTGGAGCATTACAGCATCCGGGGATCACTGAGGTCTCAGTTGTGACCCGAGGCCAAAATGCAATTATGTCTGAAATGTCATAGCTGGGCTGTAGGCAGGAGAACCAGGCCTACTCAAATGATTTTTCCCTAGAATTATGTAGCATGGCTCCCAACACCACGGGACAGGAAGCCAGGCTGGACGGGGCAAAGGTGCATGGGTCTTCCAAGCCACCCCACGCCACAGGACCTCGCTTCCTGCAGGCAGTGTGCAAAGCCATTACAGGTCCTTTCCTGCAAGCTTTGGACACAGGCATTGTAAGACCCAGGTGAGACTTAGCACAAGTAATGCCATCTTGTTACAGGCCCTCCATCTTGTCCCTGTGGGTTTCGGGTTCACTAAAGGTAACAGAGTTCCTGGAATGTACTTGTTTATCTGTTAAGACACCCTGGAATGTACCATTGTTTCTGTGTAAAGAACATCCTGTTAGATAAGTAAAGAACATCTGCAAACTCCCCTAACCGTCCCCTAACTGCAAAAATTCTGCTTCTGTAGTTCTGTTTGCTAAGCACCCCTGCAGCCCCTATAAAACCTTCCAACCCCCTGAGCTCGGGGCCTCTCTAAACTTATTGCTTGGAGGGTGCCGTTTGGCCAGACTAATAAAGGTCTGGTTTTTTTTAACCATCTCAGTCTGTCTGGTGTGTTCCCTCCTGGGTGATCCTCACTGCAGTCAGCTCCTCGGAGCGTTTGCTAAGGCCCTCCGTCTTACAGCATAATGTGCAAGTGTGATAAAAAATACGGTGAATAGGGACAGGGATTTAGCTCAGTGGCTCCGCCGCCTGCCTCGAAAGTGAGAGGTCCCAAGTTCGATCCCCAGTACCAAAAAAAAAAAAAAAAAAGAATATGGTGAATATTTAAAAATTTTTTATTCAACAGAAGCATTCACCACTAGGTTTTGATCACACCTAGTAAAGACAGGAAAGAGGACTTCTGAAACTGCTCTAGAAAGTGGCAAGCACCTGGGGGTGGTGGTGAAAACCTGGGGTCCCAGCACTTGGGAGGCTGAGGCAGGAGGATCACTGAGTCTGAGGCCCGCCTGAGCTACATAGTGAGTTTGAGGCCAGCCTGACTTGCAGAGTGAGACTGTCTCAAAAAGGCGAAACCAACAAAAAAGCTAAACAAACCAACAACAAAAAAGAAAGTGGCAAGAATGATGGAGTAATTGTGCTAGAAGCAAGGGGGAGGATTCTGAGGGAGATTAAGGGCAATGTGACTTTTTTTTTTGGCCTGGAGGTGACCTTGTTTGTAAACAAACTATTTAGAAATGGTTCACCAATCAAAAGTATTCTACTGCACAAGCACAAGGACCCAAGTTTGATCCCTGGTACCAAAAAAAAAAAAAAGTATTCTCGGTTCTTCTTGCCTCGAACAAAGAATTGGACGGGACAAGCTAACACCGGTGCCAAACGTTTATTTGAAAAGTGTAGGGTAAATGGATATGGGAGAAAGCAGCTCTGTAGATCGAACTGGGGCCAAATAAAGAGAAAAAGAGGGTAAAAGCAAAAATAAAAGTACATGCTGTGTTTGAGAAGTGCAGCATGGGCTACCATGATGGCCGCTTTTTTATGCCACCCACATCTCTTGGGAGCTTGGGAAAATTCTACATATGGCGTCTTTGCATTGCCCTGAGAGCTTGATTTTTTGAAGGAAAAAAAATGGTTTTATACATGGACTGAAACAATGTAAATTCAAAACTCACAGATCAGGGTTAGCTGTATCACTAATCTCTTTTAAAAGTTTACGAATCTCCAATTGCAACCAACAGAGTATATTGGGTATCTTTCTCCTGAGATGTCATCTCTATACTTTCCAAGTAGGCCACAGGACGCACACTGCCTTGGAATGTCCTCAGAAGACCCTGTCCTCGACAGATAACAGAGTAAAATCCAAGTCCTTTCTTTCCAAGGGAACAGGTACGCACAGGGACAGAAGGGACTGTTCAAACTTGCACTTGGGAGGCAGGCGTCAAACCACTGAGCTAAATCCCCAGCCCTAAAGTGCACATCTTGATTTCTCATGTAGACAGAACTGTACAGGGAAATTAAATTATTTTAACACATTAAAAATTAAAATACAAAGGTATTGATGTGAAATTATGTAAATTTCAAATGCTTATAAATCAAATCATTGTTGAACAAAAGATTTGTTGTTGTGTAATTATTGTCTTGTATGAATTTGAGAGAAATAAATATACCCACGCTTACGTTTTAAGAAATTGAGATCTTGTGAATATGTTTGAAAGTGAAAAACAAACAAACAAAAAGGAAAACGCTGCCTGGATCCCTCAGGACAAAGTCGGCCTGGCTGCAGGAGGCCGTGCCTGTTACTGCTCAAAAGACCTGAGGGCCGGGAATCTGAGCACCTGGTAAGGCCCAGCCTGCTTGGTATTTTAGAAAACGTTGTTTATTTATCCTTGCAGTGTTGGGGATGGAACCCAGGAGCTCTCTTCACTGCTACACCCCGCCCTGTTTATTTTTTA